CGTACCCACTACATCTTTATAGAGAAAACCAGAGCTGCTGCAAGACACACTGTGAGCTTTACTGTAAGACAAAAGAGGTATTTTCTTTTTTCCTTAACTGAGGGCAGCAGTCATAATTCTGATACTTGACAATGAGTGGTTCAGAGGGAGGAGGAAATTGGAAAGAAGAAAGAGAAGCATCCACTGAGTGGCCTGGGAGGGAGCTTTCCAGAGAGCAAAAGAGTGCAAACGAAGGGAGCTGATTTGTGTTGTGATGACAGAAGAGTTTCCTGCAGTGTCCTGAGAGTAGCTGAGCAGAGCAAGGCGGAGGGGCAGAACCAGGCCATTGTGCGGATGTAGGGAAAGCTGCTGGTTAACTGCCAGCTTGTCTGTCCTTAGAGAAAACCACACCGCAGTTCAGCCAGACAGCTAGGGAGACAGCACTTTGTATCTGTTTGTGTGTCATGTGTCACGTTAGTGGAGTAGGATTATGTGATTCTCCATGGCTTACATGACCTTTGCCCTCTGTTCTTGACCTACTTCTCGTTCTTCATGACCCAGTGCTGTGGTCAACAAGTGTGGAAAACTCCCCTGATCCTTGCAGACTCTTAAACTCTGATTCTCCACCGCACTCCCTTCATACCTCTGTTACTGTGCTTATTTCACATGAATGTTACACACACATTTAGGGAGCTACACACAGGACCTGTGTGTCATGTGCTCACACTGTGGCTTGTGGCCCAAACAAGTCTCCGCTCCTGACCTCCAAATCCATTTTTGTTGTTCTGGGAGATAACTGTTACCTTCTGCTCCACTTTGCTCTTGTAATAGGACTAAACGGGCCACCTTTGTTTCTACTCAAGCAGCATGTGATGAGACTAGTCCATGATGACAGGCGGCCCTCTTGCCGCACTGAGCCAATTCTACCCAGCAGGATTGCGCTTGCCCTCCTTGATAGGTGCCCGGACAATTACTAGCTACCTCCTAGACCTGCTTCAAAGCTTCCTGTAACCTAGCAGTGAGTGAAATGCGCAACCTTCCAACTCAATGACATTTAAGGCAACCGCTCATCGGTTCAGGCAGCAAAATAAATTGGTACTCAGCTGCTCCCAGTCCATTTTTCTGGGTAGACCTATAAATAAAAGAAATGATTGTGCCACCACATGTGACACCAATCTGCCCTCCCCGAGCAGTCACATTCTCCCGTGCTTTCTCTGGCTTTGTTCTGGTCTCCCTGAGGAACAGAGTGTTAAGGATTGTATTTGGAGGTTGCCAAGTGCTGTGTGTCTACATTTGAGTTCTATACACACAAATATAATACATGAATGGGTATATATTTGAACTGCATGTCCACCCCTACTGAATTTGTAATTCATTTATATGAAAATATTTTCCAGTAAATATTGTAATTCTCCCAATATTCTTATATAGTCCCTTTTATTCATGAGACTAAGTTACATCAGTCAGCAGTGACATTTAAATGACAGTTACTACAGTAACCCAGAGTAATGCCCTTGTGAAGTATGGTATACTGCTGTGCTTATCCAGTAATTTATATATCCCATAAATACTGGCTGTAATGTCTGAAGGTAATTCAAAAGGGAAGGAAGATTTTTCCACACTCAGTGGTTATGAAATATAACATTTTTTGAAGCAGGTTCTGATATGTATTTGCCCCATGATTCCCCCAAATTCCTTCCCTTCTAAGCCATAAGTGGTGTGTCCCTCCCCCAATATTCAAACATTAAAAATAAAAACAAGAAAACACCCTTCTTGCCCTCCTTGCCACCCACAAGGTACTGATGTCTTTGGTCCTGCACAAATATAAAAGGGGGAGGGGAGAATCGGTCAAATCAAATGATCTTCACTCTCTTTCAAACCAAATCTGCTGTAATCAGTATGCTAGCATATTCTGTCAAACTCTGACTTTTTAAGCAACACATTATTCCTGCAGTTTCTACAAAAGCAAAATCTTTGCCAGCCCCAACCTGGCTCTAGATAGAGGCTGTTGCCAAATTGACTTCCCTGTCTCAGTCAAGAGGCTGCATCCCCACTCTGCTGGAAATTAATAAGGCCAATCAGAAATGTACAAAGCCTGAGTGGCCAATCATTCTCCGGGAGTTTGCCATCTCTGCGATCAGATAAATCACCTTAAAGCTATTATACCAATGACTATAAATTAGGGGGCCTGGCAGTCTGGTCTGCCCCTTCCCAAGATGCCTCAGACTAACGGGTGGGGGGTGTGGTGAGGGGGTTCACTGTGGTGAGGGAGGGGGAGGTTGGTCTGGGTTGGCAAGGGGAGATGAGACCACCAGAGCCCTGGTTATCAGTTGTCACAGAATCCCAGGGCTGGATGCGCACTGAATCCCCCGTGAATTCGTGTCTGGGCTGCACCCAGGTGTTTGACATGGCACTGCTCCGAGATGGCTTTGATCCCCAGATGCAGGGACTCCATCTGCGCGGCTCCGCGAGACTATTTACAGTCAAGGTTAGGCGCGTGATTGCTGGCATGGAAAACTCATTCCTCAGCCCGGCTTTTATTTACACTCTTATTAAGGTGCCTTTCACTCACGTCGTCACAATGGCAGCGGAGCATTTGGAGGGCGACACAGGCGCCCTCGCCAAGAGCACAGAGCGCATTGGGCGGAGGCAGGGACAAAAGGCGCAGGGAAGCCAGGGCTCGGTAGCGGCCAAGGCCGGCGTTTGGACCACACTGGAAAAGTTCAGTGGCTTTGTGGCTGGATTTCCCTTGCAGTATTAGCTGCCCCCCACCCCCCTCCCGCCAACCCTCCGTCACACTCTTCATAAATACCCAACATGAGAAAAGGAAGAGAGTGCTAAGCTTTAACCTCCACCCCAAACCCTAGGTAAAGGTTCCACCCTCCGCCAGAGCCTCCCGGGCCTCTGTAGCCCGGATTTAGCAGGGATATACTTAGCAGTAAGGACTCCCCGAGGGAAACTTCCTGACGGTTTTTTCCTTTGGCACCACCTAAAACCAGGGCAGGCCTGTGCAGCCTTGGCACGTTTTGGCTTGTAACCATGCATGTTCATGCCCAAGTGCAGTAAAACCCAGGTCAGCGGCTTGGAGACAGGGACCTGTGTTCTTGAAGGCTGACCAAGCCCGAGAATTCAATAAAATGAAGACTCTGGGAGTCCTGTGTGGTCTTAAAACCCCTAAGGCAAAAACAAACCATTTTTCCCCTAAAAGGGTCAGAGGGAATTGGTAGGAGTATTGCTTTTGAGAGGAGGGGTGGTTTCTGTGGTCCTTCCCACTGCTCTAGAAATCGTGATTTGTTCTTGTTACCCTACCTACTCCCTTTCCCAGTGTCCTCAACCTCTGGAATAGTGGATACTATCTTCATATTACTTTCCTCTGCATACGTTCCCTCCCTCTATCTTCCCATTTAATGATTCTCTTCCTCTTTCTCTCCCTTTCCCCCAGAAAAGAGTGGACTCCTCTTCTGCCCTCCTGACCCCGCCCCCATTTCTGTAACTTCCTGAAGAAATGCCCCCTTTCCCTTTCCTGGACACTCAGGGGCACAGTCTCTCTCTTGGGCTAGCGTGGTACTGGGAAGAGGATATCAAAGGAATAATAGCACTGTTATCAACTAAATTGTGTCCCCCAAAATTCATTTGTTAAAGACCTAAACCGAAGTACCTCAGAAGTGACTATATTTGGAGATAGGACCTGTAAGGAGGTAATTAAGGTAAAATGTTGACTGTTGTCCTCATAAGTGGAAATTTGGACACACACAAAGAGACACTAGGGATGCATGCACACAGGCAAAAAAAAAAAAAAAGACTCTCACTCACTGAGAACACACAGAGGCCAAGTCAAGTCAAGGAGAGAGGCCTGGGGAGAAACCAAATATTGATCTTGAACTGTGAGAAAGTAAGTTTTTGTTGTTTAAGACACCTAGTCTGTGATGTTTTGTTATGGCAGCCCTAGCAAACTAACACAGGCCCTAAGGAAGCCTGCCTAGAACATTCCTATGGCCCTCCCTCCTCTGTGACGTGGGAATGCTTTCCTTTGGATGGCTTTGGCCTGACACAGCCTTTCCTTTTAATGTTCCTTGTGTTTTTGCTTTTTTGTTTTTGTTTTTGGTGATAAGAACCTACCAACCAGTGATATTTCTCTGCTGAAAGAGCGTTAGTTTTACCTCTCCAGTTTGATTTTTCAGTGTTGTCCTGTGTAGGGAATAATAGGACACCCATTTAAATCTGAATTTCAGAGAAACAGCAAATAATTTTAAAATTATGTCCCAGATATTCAGTGGGAAATACTTATATTTTTAAAAATTATTTATGTGAAATGCAGGCTTAACTAGGTGTCCTGTAGATTTTATTTGCCACATCTGTCAACACTAGTTCAGAGGTATGTGTCCTAATATCTTTATACATACGTTCTCACATTAGAATAACCTGGAAAAAGAACATTTTGAAAATACTGATGGCTGGGTCCCTCCTTGGGGAATTCTGATTTAATTGGTCTGAGGTAGGGCCTTGTTGACAGGATTTTTAAAAAGTATCCTGGTAATTTTATTGTGTGGCTAGGGCATAGAACCCCTGCAGAAAGATAGGTATTGACTAATTAAATGCTCATGGCTATTGCATTGTTGGATTTAGGCTCTCTTAAGCTTAAATTCTTTGGGTTTTGTTCCATAAAAAAATGTCAATACTCTTCTTATTGCTGAACCCAGAGGCAAATGTCAAGTACATCACTGAAAAAAGCCCTGTTAGTATATGAAATGATCTTACTTCAAGTCAACTGAGCCCATAAAGAGAAGTGTCCAGAGCTATAATATTGATACCACTGCAGCAAATGACTCTCCATCCCAACAGTTCAGGTTTTGTAATAGTGCAGCTGGCCACCCCTTACCTTTTACTATTACCTTTATTACAGGTCATTGCTTAAGAATGTAAGATCTCCTTGAAGAATTCTTAGAGTTCAAGGAATTTGAACATAATTTTATTCAGTTCTTCCAGACCCTGGGTATCTGTTTTGTTGTTGTTGTTTGATTTAAAATATGGAACGCTTTGTGAATTTGCGTGTCATCCATGCGCAGGTGCCATGCTAATCTTCTCTGTATCATTCCAATTTTATTATATGTGCTGCCAAAGCGAGCACTGTTCTTCAGCTATTAATTGGCATGTATGGAGAGCTAAAGTTTACCTGTTGCTCACTTGTTATGCAAATTTATAGAAAGTTTATTATGGTAAACACCCCTGGAGCAGCATGCCATTCATTCCGCTCGGGTCAGGCCCCTATATTTGAGTCCAGTACTCAGTTTCATCCTGAAGATAAGCTTTGCCTACATAAACCTTCATAGTAAGTGCTATGGAGATGCTGACATAGGACTCCAGCTGAGTAAGAGTTAAAACTAGAATGAGAGGGAAATAAAATGCCTGTGACAGAAACACATTTTATGGAAAGTGGTGTTGGGGGTCAGTAGATGACATTGATCAGTGGAAAGTTCAGGGATGGAGATTTGATGTAAAAAGGCTATTAAAAGTGCCACCCAAATAAGCTTGTATATGATGGAGGTTTTGTACTACAGGAGTGCTCCTTTATAGGTAGTTTTGCTTTCCACGGTTGCAGTTACCTGTGGTCAACTGTGATGCAAAAATATTAAATGGAAAATTTCAGAAGTAAACAATTTATATGTTTTAAATTGTGTGCTGTTCTGAGTAGTGTGATGAAATCTTGTGCTATCCAGCCCCACCCTGGAACATAGATCCAGTGTATCCACACACTATATACTACCCTCCCATTGGACACTTGGTAGCAGTATTGGTTATCAGATCACCTGTCACTGTATCACAGTGCTTGTGTTCAATTCACCCTTATTTTACTCCACATCGCAAGAGTAGTGATGCTGGCAATTCGGATATGCCAAAGAGAAGCTGTAAAGTGCTTCCTTTAAATGAAAAGTTGAGAGTTCATGACTTAGTAAGAAAAAAAAAAATCAAATGTTGATATTGCTAAGATCTATGGTAAGAATAAATCTTCTGCCTATGAAATTATGAAGAAAAAATAAATTCATGCTAGTTTTGCTCTTGTATCTCAAACTGCAAAAGTTACAGTAAACAGCGCATGGTAACTGCCTAGTTGTGAGTGGAAGACGTGAACAGACATTGTGTTCTGACTGATGGCAATGTGTTGTTCCAGAAAGCATTGAGCCTGTACAAAGACTTCAGCAAGGGGTACCCTAAAACAAGTGATACCAAGCCATTTACTGCAAGTAAAAGTTGGTTATATAGATTCAGGAATAGGTTTCAACTGAAAAACATAAAAATTACTTGAAAGAGGTCACATAACTTTTATTAAAGCATATTCTTATAATTATTCTATTTTATTAATGTTATTAATCTCTTACTGTGCCTAATTTATAAATTAAACTTTACCATATGTATGTATAGGAGAAAACATAGTATACACAGGTTTCGGTACTCTCTGTGGTTTTAGCCATCGACTGGGGGTCTTGGAACTTACCCTCAGATAAGGAAAACTGTACTGCTTATTATTTAATAAGTTTCAGAAAACTGTTGTAATGAGAGGCAGGTGTGTGCAAAATATAAGCTTTGGATTTGAAGTCTTGGCTTTGGTACTACTTAGCTGTTTCCTTGGGCAACTATTTAATTTACCTGAACCTTTATCTCCTCATTTGGAGAAGGGCTTCTGGAATGTTAGAATAAAGAAAAAAAAATTTTTTAATGTTGAAAGTATTGTAAGTATTAGAGATGTCCCCTCTTTTTTCCCCCATTGAACCCCCTCCTCCCCACTCCCACCCCCCTCTTTCTTTCCTCAAACTATTGTCTGTGTCCATTGGTTATGCATATATGTTCTTTGGTTTACCCATTCCCACCCCTCCACCTCCCACTCCCAGAATAAAGAACTTTTAAAATCCACTTCTCCATAGGGTTTCTGGAATGTTAGAATAAAGAACTTTTAAAATCTACTTCTCCATACAAGCAAAGAGAACACTGGCAAAAATTGTCAAAATCAGCTTTTTGAGAACTCTGGAAATTAACCAAAGGATTGCAACAATCCAAGGAGTGTTTATTCAAGAAAAATAGCTGAATCTCAGCGAGAATAGAGAGCTCTGTGTGGCATTTTAACTTGACCAATTTCCCTTCCCCTTTCTTTAGATCTCTGGTAGTTTTGAACACCAGCAGCCTCACAACCATAGTAGGTCTAAAGTCCAACAGACTAACTTGCAGCGGGTAGAATGGGTTTATAGCAGCCCCAAAGTCCAGATCTCCAGAAAATTGCCACTATTTGACCTATCTGGCAGCTCCGGGGAAAGGCTCCATTATCAGGGCCTTTTATTACTTGACCTGCTCTGTGTGAACAGCCTTATCCCCAGGGCATTGGTCGAGAACAACCAGCAACAATTGTTTAATATCACAGCTATCTAAGGCAGTCATATGAGTTGAGGCTAACAAAAGGCTGAACTGGTAAATGAGATGATCATAGTGGCTTTGAAAAGCCACAACATTACTGGAGCCCTAGAAATCCTTAAACATGTACAGGGCAGTACCCATGCCCAGGAAAGACCTGAGCAGGCCTCTTATCTCTGGTTGATCTTAAGGCTCTGCAAAAGCAGGAAGTGAAGGCTAAGGGAGAGTTGTAATTTGCTTCTCATAGCATTGAAGGTATGTCCAAATTTGATTAAAAAACCAAAAAACACTAATCTAAATATCCAAGAAGTTCAGGAACCAAGTAAAATAAACTCAAAGCTCACACCTAAACACATCATAGTCAACCTCTTGAAAGGAGCAAGAGAAAAGTAACTCATTACATGCAAGGGATCTTTAATAACATTATTGTCCTATTGGAAACCAGAGTGTCCAGAAGGTGGTGGGATGCCTATAAATGAAGTGAAAAAAGAAAAAAAAGAAACATCTGTCAATTCTATATCCAGAAAAACTATTCTTCAAAAAACTCAAGGGATTTTTGTCCCCAGCATACCTTTTTTTTACAAGAAATACTAAAGGAAATCTTTCAGGCTGAAACGAAAGGTCACTAGATAGTAACTTGAATACACATAAAAAAATAAAGAACCTGAAAATAAAAATACATAGGAAATATAAAAGACAGTATAAATATATTTGTTTGTAACTCTTCTATATAATTTAAAAGACAACTGTATAAAAATAATAAACTTTTGACAGGTTCATATTGTATAGAGGTATAATTTGTATGACAAATAATAGCACAAAGGAGGAAGAAATAATAAGTATATATTGGAGCAAAGTTTTTATATACTTTAGAAATTAAATGGGTATTAACCCAAATTCGATTGTTTTAAGATAAGATGGTAATTGTAATTTTTAAGGCAACCACTAACACATTATCTTTAAAAATACAGTATATTGCCCTGGCCGGTTTGGCTCAGCGGTTAGAGCGTCGGCCTGCGGTCCTGAGAGACCCGGGTTCGGTTCCCGCTAAGGGCGCGTACCTCGGTTGCAGTTTGTCCCCGGCCCTGGTCGGTTGTGCGGGTGGCAGCCACTCGATGTGTCCCTTTCACATCGATGTTTCTCTCTCTCTCTGTTCCTCTCTCTTCCCCCAACTCTACCTGAACAAAAAATGGAAAAATGTCCTCGGGTGAGGATAAAAAAAAAAAACAAAACAAAAATACAGTATATTAAAATAGTGTATAGAAATTATTTAACACAAAAGGGAGCAGTAATGGAATAGAGGAGCAAAAAGACAGAGAACACATAGAAAGCAAATAATAAAGTAGCAGACAGAAGCCCTACCATATCAGTAAATATGAGCAAGTTCCACACCCACAGAGGGGAGACTAAGAATCAGGAGGTACATCTCAGTTCTAGAGGTCCCCTTTAAGAGTGAGGGGCTCCCCTGCCCAGGGCACCAGTGCAGGAAGAGGAGTCCACATAGCATCTAAGTGAGGTGTTTCTTGTGAGGGGCTCATGCACAGAGTCACTTGCTAACAAACTCACTCTGGGCTGCAGCTCAGGGGCTGCAGCTGGAAAAGTGCACGGGACATCTGGGGAGGAACTGAATTGCCTAGGTTCAGGGTGAGGGCTGGAAGGGCAGGGGTCAGGGCAGCTCTCTTCAGGGAGTGCCGGCAGACACCACTGTTCCACTGTTGAGTGCTTCCTCCAACCAGCTGGCATGTGCAGGTGGGCACCAAATTTGTGCTCTCCATTAACCTGGCTAACTATTCACCATACCCTGGTGATTCCCTGAGATCCCATCCCACCCAATTCATGTTTCTGGCCCAACATGCTTCCAGGGACTGTTCCACACAAGTGGCCTGCCTCAGCTTGCTCTGCGGACTTTCTCAAAATCTTTCAAAGGTTCACAAACCCCAAACAAGCAACAAATGGCCTTGGCATGCCCTGTACCTCTTGCTAAGTGGCCCTAAGCCTGGCAAAAATGGTGAAAGGTCTCATCTCATGCCTTGATACCCATCAAAGAGTACCATGCCTGACAACAGTGGCAGCCAGCCTCAGTTTACAGCACAGCCTCTCCCAAGCACTTCTAAGCCCAGGACAAGTGGCAGTTGTAGATCACTTTCTAACTCCAACCAGGCAGCCCCAAGCCAGGCTCAAATGACTGCTGACCTTGGCCTAACCAGAACCCCTTCCAAGAGGCTCCAGGACTAACACATCCAGTGGCTGGCTTTAGGTCACCCAAGAGTACTACCCAACCAACTCCACAAATAAAATAGCCAAAGGGCAGGCTCAGCTGCCACCAGAGTCCTGCTAAAGCAAATCCTGCTTCCTGCGGTCAGCCCACACACAACTGCTTGTCCACTATTGTCATGGCTAGCCCATACAGCCAGTCAGCCTAAGGGTTAATCCCACCCACTGATGTGCCAAGGCCCAACTACAACAGGAGGACAAACACAAGGGACATCTCTTGTCCACCTGGCTCAAGTGACCAGGGAGCCTACTCCACTGGGCTTCACAGGACACCCGCAACATAAGGCCACTCTGCCAAGACAAGAGACATAGCAGGTCTACCTAACACATAGAAATAAACAGGGCCCTGGCTGGGTAGCTCAGTTAATTAGAGCGTTGTCCCAATACACAAAGGTTGAAGGTTCAACCTCTAGTCAGGGCACATATTGGAAGCAACCAATGAATGCATAAATA